GTTTGAAACAGACTGCTTGTGTCATTTAAAAAAAAAAAAAAATCTGAATGCAGGCGGCTCGGGCTGAGGTGCCCTTCAGATTGTTCTAGGAAGGTTGTGCGAGGTTGGGGGAGCTTGGATTTTGTGAAGTGAGAGTTATCTGCATATTCAAGGCTTGGACTTACCTTCTCAGGGTTACTCTGACCTGATCAGAAACCCATATGTTTGTTGGCCACCATTTTATAAATACAAACCAGTACATAGCCCCACATACTGGAATTTTCTTCTCATTTATGTCTATTATTTGAGCATGTAAAACACCAATAACATTTTAAAGGCAGGTATAGGTCATAGGCAGTGAGTCAGCTGCCACAAGGGACCATTGCTTGACTTTAGAAAGTTTTTTGACCCTCTAAAGCCTGGCAGCCATGGCCAGTTTCTTGCTGAGGGTATCCAGCAGCTGCTGTAGGCTATCTGATATTCCCAGTGAAAGAGCTGGAGTCTGAAACAGGCAAAAGAAGCAGTCTAGGCTGAAATTGACTAGTACATGTCTGCAGAGACTAAAGATTTCAGGGCCAAGAAGTCTGCTGCCCTGAGTTGGAGACACAGACCCAGAAGAAGGTGGCCATTTCTAGACCTACAATGGCAGGACAGGGATAAATTGTTGAATGTCATCATAGTCTTCATATGTGACATCTGTCTAGTAGTCCACAAAAGCAGCTACATGAATGGGTAGAAGAGCATGCCTGTTCTAAGGGGTGGCATTAACATCATGGAGCAGGAAGCCTCAGCAGAGCTTGTGTTCTCCATGACAGGCTTTACAAGAGAGGAGCAGATCTACCTTTACACAGACTCAGTACGTCTCCAAAGAGAGCATCTTCTAACTTCGTATTTCTTAGAGACTTAGTGAGTTTGTTGTTTATGTTCCTATGTGTTCAGGTCAAGCACCATAAGTCAACTCTTTGAAGAAGAGATTAATTTTCTTACTTCTCTGTAAAGGCATTGTCTGTGAACAAGTAGTAAATAGTTCTTTGTGGCTTGTGTAGCGACTGCCTTAGAGCAGCCCGTTCTTACTCTGGGCCAGAGCAGTGAGCACTAGTGTTCCTAGATGGTAGACTCAGGAGCTTGTTGTTCATTCTCATGAAAAAGAAAAAAAAATGTTAAAGGTGTGTCCTTGGTGACATTTTCTCTTGTTATTTTTAGATGAGACAGTGTTGATAATTGGTAACAAGCTGTGTGAGTTTCCAGATCTGGCTTGGGTTTTAACCCCAAATTCAACCCCTAACTTTGAATCTGAGAATTCCCATAAACTCTTCATCTGTGAAACAGTGATAATGACAACTGATTTACTCCACTGAGCCTGTGGGATGAGATGAACCAACAAATATGCTTCTTAGCCCAGTTCCTAGGACATTTTGAACACCCAAGGCCTGGTAGTCACAGTAGTAAGCTTGGTAATGATTTCTATTTATATGGGAGAACCAAATACTTAAAATTATAATATGAAAATTACATTTAAAATTTTAGAAAGCTTTGTATTTAAAAAGGAACCAAGAATATTTTGGAGGCAACTCTTAGTATGTTCTCAGGCATTAAAAGAAAAGGTCCTTTTAATTAAATTTACCATTCAAGAACCTAGCCAAATAAATTGGAATTGTGCCCTTATACCTTCCTGTTCTTTCTCCTTAAGGAAATTGCCCTGCCAGTCCATGTTTGTCTGAAGTCCCTCTCTGTTCCAGCCCCACTCTTCTAACCCACTTGGTACCAGTGGAGAGCTAGGGATTCCATTCTGACTCTCCTGAGCGTCACCCCGGGTCGTGACAGTGGCCGTGGAGAGCTAGGGATTCCATTCTGACTCTCCTGAGCGTCACCCCAGGTCGTGACAGTGGCCGTGGCCACCGTTCCTCCAGGGCCACTCTCATTCCTCAGTCTGGCTCTGAGCTGAAGGCTCCCATTGTTCACGGGTCTTAGAGATCCCCACACACCTCAGTCGCCATGACTGAAGCTGGAGGCTTTTTATGAACTTGTCTGATACAGAGCTGAAGAGGTAACGGAGAAGAGTTTTTGGCTAAAACAAAGCAAAAAATTTCAAATAGAACCTGCCATCAAACTTACGATTACAGAAACAGTATTTATAGGTATAGTTAATTGACTTTTATTAAAGTGTTTGGATTAAAACCATGGTGGACATGGCTAATGACCCTGAGAGCAGGTGCTCAGTCACTTTATTGTTTGGTACTGTGCAGCCCATCAAGTAATTTTAATTAAGGCTTTTTTCCCCATATCTAGATTACTTCATTTATTGACCAAATACTTTGTAAATGCCAAGTAGAACATAGTACATATCATTCACTGAGATTCTAAACTTTATGAGGTCATAGGCAACAGCTCAAATTTAATTTTACACACATCATAAATAATTAGAAATGGGGGCTGGAGAGGTGACTCAGTGGTTAGGAGCACTTGCTGGTCTTTCAGAGGACCCAAGTTCAGTTCCCAGCACTTGCATCAGGAGGCTCACAACCAGCTGTAGCTCTCGCTTCAGAGACTCCAACACCCTGGCTTCCTCAGGTGCCTGCACTCGTGTGCTCCTCCTCACACGCTGACACACACACCCATCCCACCTGCATTTGTGTGCCCCTCCTCACACGCACACACACACCCATCCCACCTGCAATCATGTGCCCCTCCTCACACGCACACACACACACACTCACACTCGTCCATAATTCAGAACAATAAAAGATGCATGAAAAGGAAAGCCAACACTTGTGTGATACTCCCATTTACAGGGCATCTTTGCATATATTAATACAGTTTAATATCACTGTAAGGTGAAAAGGACAAGCGTTTTCTTTCTTTTATAGGATAAAAGACCTGAAGAGACTAAGAAATGTTTAAAGTTGACAGTTCCACCATTTATGACCTCAAACCAGCCACGTAATCACACCATGTAATTCCCTGAACAGGGAAACAGAATTGAAGACAGTCCCTCCTTCATAGGCCAGGAAGATGCACTGATGCATGAGCACAAAGCCGTTATCAGTGCATGGTGTGCCGTAAATGGGCGTGGTTTACTGTCAGCAGTCACAGCACACAGCTAGTGAGTGTTAGGACCTACCCCCAGATCCAGGTCTCCTGACTCCTGACCCAGACTGTTCACCTTCCCAGTGACCAATAGACAGGATGGTCATAAAGGGAGTTGTCCTTTAATAAGAAAAAGATGGTGGACGAGAAGTGTTTAGAACCTCCCAGCACAGTGAAATAAATGTCTGAGGCACTAATTTTCAGGATTGGGTCACCATGCTTTATGTTCATGTATCAAATTATCATCATGTGGAGCCACACATTTGTATAGTTATTGCATGTCAATTTAAAATTACATTGCAAGCAAGATGTAAAGGCCCACGCTTGTCTTCCCAACTCTCCAGAAACTGAAATAGGAAGATGTTGAGTTTGAAGCTAACCAGAGTTACACAACCAGTTCTTGGCCAGCCTGGACTAGTCAGACCCTGTCACAACAGGGAAACCACACATATCATTAAAAAATAAAATAAAATAAAACAATCCCACCCCCAGCTATGTCCATGGAAATCCCTTCCATTAATATTGATGTTTGTGGTCAAAGTGAAGATAGTAAGTGACCATATCCACTGCCTGTAGGTGGGACCTCTATATCCAAATCCTCTCCCACCCCACCCAGGGCTCAGAGAGCATCTCTCCAGGAAGACAAGGCTGTAAGGATGTAAAAGCTGGAGGGCGGAGAGGAGTGCCGTGAACTGCTGCTGCCTTGGGGATGTGACGTGGCCATGACACTCCTGAACTTACCACAGCGTTGGGTACTGGCACACAGCCACAATTTCAACACAGGCTGGGGAGGGCCTCACAGATCCCATCCCTAGCTGAGGAGCTGTTAGCAGTTGATAGCTCTTTAGGAGTGTAGCCACTGGTAGTTTGTTTATGTTTAGTGGATGACCTCACACCTGTACACATATGGGCAGGCCTAACTGGACTCCATGGGGGAGGAGGGAGCAAAGAGAGGAAGGTGAATACAATTAAAACACATTGTATACAAGTATACAAAGAATAAACTTAAAAATCTTTAAAAGCTTTAAGAGAAAAAAACATTGACATCTGGAGATTGTAATTCTTCCAGGAGAATATTCCTTGGGGAAACAGCAGCAATAACATATAAATACACATCAGCCTGTTGGGCTGTTTACAAAGCAGCTTTGGGGAGCTCTAATTCACATGCATATGTATTTCATTGATTTAATGTGTGTTATTCAATAGCTTTCTATATATTTGTAGACTTGTATAACCATCAGTCACTAGGATCAATCTTAGAAAAATCTTTATCTCAAAAAGAACTGTATTCCCCCTGCCCTTTAGTTAAAGGTAGCCATTATCTGTTTTTTGCATTTTTGTTTGTTTGTTGTTGTCTTGATTTGCCTCTTCTGGCTCCTTTCACTTAGCACAGTATTTCAGGACCCATCCCTGCTGCACATGAGTCAAGGCTCTTGCTTGATGGATGGAAATGATGCTTATTTCCTGGCTGCTATTTGTAGTTTGCATTATGTGGAGTCTACCTGTCTTCATTAGTGAGGGCGAGACCTATTTTGTGGAAATTCCACAGAGGAATTGCTTCCTTGAGTAGCTATGACAATTAAACAGTGATATCAGAGCAACCAGTTATCACAGCAACATGTGATTCAATTAAGCAAGATAATTGTCTTAGTGCCTAGCACAGGGGTTCTCAAGTCCATTTGCCCCATTTGAATATTCAGGGTTTATTAAGAATTTATTAACAGTGAAGCAATAGATTTCTTAATCTGTAGCCCAGACTAGTCTGTAACTACTGTGTAACTCCAGTTAGCACTACATGGCAAGCTTCCTGCCTCAGCCTCCTGAACACTAGAATTACAGGAGTGAGCCCCACACCTGCCGCAGATAGAATTTTCACTACTGCTTCGAGGTTGAAGTACTGATCTCTTCCATCCTTTTGTTTTGTTCTCCCCAAGGCTATGCCTTCCTGCTGTTCCAGGAAGAAAGCTCAGTGCAAGCTTTGATAGATGCCTGCCTAGAAGAGGATGGGAAACTGTACCTGTGTGTGTCCAGCCCCACCATCAAGGATAAGCCGGTAAGTGATGTGTAGCCAGCTGCTGCTTTCCCAAGGCACATATGCAGATGACTAGCTGCTCCTCCTCCTTGTCGTGGAAATGCTGCGATTAGGAGCTCTTACCTGAGCTAACCTTGCTGTGTGGAGCTAGGACGGTTGCTAGTGATGAGAAGTTAATTAAAAAGTACTCAAATTTCATCTTACACTTTTGAGACCACAGGTAAACAAATGTGTCCTTGACACCCACCTACAGCTTGGTAAGCTGACTCCTAGTTGGAAAACCTGAGTTGAGGTGAGCAAGGCTCTTAGAGGTTTTGGCAGCTTTTTTCTGTTATTCTGATTATTTCAGATCAAGGACAGGAGGAATTTCTTTTTTGAAGTATCATAATTGGTCATGTGTATATGTCCTTGAATGTAAGTCTTTATGCTGGGTTGTATCTACAGCCACCCAATGGGTAGGCCAGCAGGTCACACTCTAAATGGACAGTTTCAGCAGGACAGGAGAAGGGCAGGACAGAGAGCATGGCACTGAAACTGTAAACTAATGGGTGGGATAAGTTTGTATGTAAAGGCTTGGTCCTTGGAGTGGGAAGTAGTTAAAAATAGTGATGTGGAATGGGGAAGGGGCTGAAACTGTATCTAGAGCCTAGAGCAGCCACCAGATACGAGATACTGGGGCTCACTTGGTTGGTTAAGTATATATAGGGTTTTTTTTGTTTTGTTTTGTTTTTGGGTTTTTTTTTTTTTTTTTTTTTTTTTTGGTTTTTCAAGACAGGGTTTCTCTATAACTTTGGAACCTGTCCTGGAACTAGGTCTTGTAGACCAGGTTGGCCTCAAACTCACAGAGATCCACCTGCCTCTGCCTCCCTCCGAGTGCTGGGATTAAAAGTGTGTGTGCCACCACTGCCCAGCCACTAAGTATATTCTTAGAATGTGTCTGCGAAGAGTTTGGGTTAGCTATAGAAATTCCGAGCTTGAGTCTTAACTTTAATATTTAAATATCTATCTGCTTGATTCCCAGTAAGCCATGCTGTCTTGGTAAATAACGGTTTTCCCAACTGTAAAATGGGACAAACAGTCTTTCTTTCCTGGGTTGCTGAAAAAATAAAATTAATGTAGAATCACTCAATGGAGAGTGAGTACTTGTGCAGATATAACTCTCTGCTGCTATCTGTCCTGCATGGTGCCGTAGTTCAGGACAGAGAGCTCAGCTATGCAGCCACACCTGCTGGGAAGAACAGGGTTCCCGACTTGCAGAAGAATGCCTCTGGGACTTGGTCACCTATAAGGAGGGGAATTAGTATGTAAGTAGAAGAGGAAATTACTACAAATGGGGTTATTGAGTCATGGCAGAAAGGTCAATACAGAAAAAGAAATAAGGATTTTAGCCATTATGAAAGTATCATTGTAAGTTCTGAGACTGTTGCCAAATTTTGGTAACAATAATGACAATGTTAAATACTATGGCTGTATAGGTTGGGAAATAAGTGAATGGGGAACCTTTGCTAACTTTGAGCTTTATTTAAAAAGTGTGTGCATGGTGAGGGAGACATGGGGACTTACTGATAGGAAGAGCATGTAATACATCACCTGAATAATAAGCCTAAAATTACTTAAGTCCTTTGGAGTTCTCTCAGATTCGGAAGTCTCTACCAAATTTGGCAATTTGTCTTAATAATCTATCTGCAGAGATGTCCTGCCCCTGACAGTCAGTGAAAAGTCAGTGAGCGTGAACTAGGAAAGGTTATGGTTGAACTGGCCATGCACTGTAGGAGAGGATTAGAAGACATTTTATACGTAAAAAGGCAAATGGATAGAGGCACATGACGACATAACCATGTCCACAATAGAGAACTAACGGTAGAATTGAGATGAGGAGATGAGACGGGCTCAGAAGTTCACATGACTGGCACTATATGGAAAGGAGGAGATGGCGTCTGGTAGGAGGGCCCTCACGTGGACAAGGTGTCTCTTGAGAGGGGAGCAAACTGACAGTTGCAAGCATAGGTGGGTGGAGATAGCACCACTCACTGCTCTTGAGTGTTTGCACGCTAAGCACAAGCATTGCTCCGGACTTTAGGGACTTCAAACATATTAGTGTAACTTTCTCTGCTGGAAGCTAGCTTCCCTTCACCTACCTGATCGCAGTCTGCCTTTTCTGAGCTGTAGGGGTTGTTTTTACTGCAGAGTGATAAATTCTGATGGTAACTATCAAATACATGTTTCTTTGGCCCAGACATACTCAGGGTTTCCAGCATTAATAGTTTGATTAAAATGTCAAGAGAAAACCCCTCCCTGATGATATCTCCAATTCGAAGGAAGTACATTTCATGGTTGGGTTCCAGTCTTTTGTCTCCAGGTTCACAGCCTCTCTTCTTGGCATTAGCTTTCCCTCCCCTGTTCCCAGCTTCATTTAGTCGTGCCTCTCCACTGGCTCGTGCACATCCCAGCTCATGCAGATGCCCCACAGAAAGTGACCGCTAGAGTCAACCTTGCAGTCCATGAGGACCCAGGAAACAGAAGCTTGGTCTCGAGCTCATTCACCAGGCTTTCTCAGCGTGGTTCCTCTTTGTGCCATGTCTAAGCTGGCTAGCGTTCATGCTCCGCCCTTCAGGATCCCAGTACCCTGGCAGTTGAGTTTAGTTCTTTCTGACTCCTTGTAGTTCCCTTGGAAATATATCGGGTTCCAAAAGTTACCTTGTAGATTTTTCTACCCTTTGTCCTTATTTATTCCTTTTCCTCAGATCGAACCCCTCTTCCGGTTAAGTGGATCCAGTTATTCAGATTTTTTCCCCCAGTGCAGGGCCCAAAGTGAAGTCTACTCTAAGCTATCTTGTCCAGGATCATGCTTCTCTCTAAGTCAAGTGGATCCCAAACTAATGGGTTTTAGGATATTAGATAGGTGGGTTTGTAGATCCATTTTAGAATCCATGGCTGTCATATTGTCTTGTCCCACCTAGGAAGTCTTTAACAGTTTTTACCTTGATTTCCTTAAATTTATAACCTTGATCATGATTTGGGTACCTTTTTCCAAGAGCTTCTCCAAAGAAGGAAATCCTTGTCTGGCATAAGACAATAGTGCCTCCTATTTTCTTCTTAGTTTCTGAACTTGCAAATGAGTCCAGAGCTTCTTAGAGCTTGAGCCTTTGAATGCTCTATGCCATTTTTAGGGAGGTAAAATGGAAGTTCTATGTAGCCAGGATGCTACATAAAAGCCAGTGAATAAGACAGGCAATACTTTGCTTAAGGGATTGTATTCAGTGTTTACCTAAGTGTCTTCTAAAGAGCACATGTCCAGTCGACAGCTATCTTGAAAGTCTCGTGTACCAAAGACTCATAACAGCAATGGGTATCATTGATTGTATACTTAACTTTGTGCATTATATATTAATTTTCACCTTTAATTTAAATTTCCATATCCCCAAAATACCAAGAAACATTAATTTAGCCAGGCTGTAAAATTATCTTACAATATATAAATTTGTAAATTTAGGTTTAACCCTAAATTTTATATTCCTACTTTGGAGATGACTCTTATGTAGATTCCTATGAAATTAGTTATCTGAAACACACTCAAAGAATACACTTCTTCCCAGGAAAAGTTCAGTAACCTAAATGGATTTTATTTTATGTGTATGTGTGCTATCTTGAATAGGTTTGTGCAGATAAGTGTAATGCCCTGTTGAGGTCAGAAGAAGGCATCATATGCCCTGGGGCTGGAGTTACAGGCAGTTGTTAGCTGTCTGATGTGGGTGCTGGGAACCGAACTCAGGTCCTCTGCCAGAGCAGCAAATGCTCCTAACTACTGAGCCATTTCTCCAGACCTCCAACCTGAATGCTGAGGTGTGAATTCCTCTTAAGAGTTTTAGTAATCAACATACTGTTAGCAACAATCCTTTCCTAGTAGCATGGAACTACATACATACACATGTATGTAGACACTGAACCAAATTGCTTTGCTTGGGTACAAGATTGCTTGAGGCTATGAATCTGAAATTTAAAATCACCAAATAATAACGCTAGTTGCATTGCTAAATCATTTTTCTGTGTGAGAATGTTGTGTGATATTTTTATTATATTCTGACATATAAAACTTGCTTGGAGTCAGAGGGCACAGCTAGCCACTAGCTGACCTAAATTAATCATAGAAGTTTGGAGAACTGTAGACAAAGAGGAGACAGGAAGTAGTAAGGCGGGGCAGACCGAGGAATGATAGAGGTAGGAGGTGACTGGTGGCTGCTTCTGCTTCTCTGACTCCAAGCAAGCTTTATTTGTCAGAACACAATCAAAATATCACACAACATGAGAGAGATTTACTAACTGCTAGTTTTGTCAGTAGATCAAGGAATAATCTACTAGCCACTTCCTTTCTTGTGTTTGTTAGTGCTGGGGCATGCACAGAGGACCATGGTCATTCTAGGCAAATACTTGACTACTGAGCCCTCAGCTACTATTGGCCATTTCTAATGTATAGAGGACAGGCAGATTTGAGTTTGAAGAGAAGAAAGTGGTTGCTTACTAGAAGAGATACATCTTCAGTCCACCAGGAATCTCTGGCTCCAGCCAGTGGCCTAGAGAATAGGGAACTTCACATGCTGGCGACATAGTTAAAGTGGAGTCAGAGAAGCCTTGATTTCAGTCCTGAAATAGTTTCAATTTTAGATCCTTGGTTCCCTCAGATTTAGACCATTTGTGTAGCATATGGTTATAGTAAGGGTAAATGTAACTTTAGAAAATGTATAGCTCATATCTTGCTTTCTCTTAGTGGTTATTAGTTTACAAGAACTCCGTATACTTTTAAAAGGTCACTTAGGGGCTGGAGAGATGGTTCTTTGGTTAAGAGGATTGGCTGCTTTTTCAGGGACCCAGGGTTCAATTCCCTGCACCCACATGGCAACTCACAACCATCTGTAACTCCAATATCAAATACTTTCTTCTGACCTTTGCAGCATCCTACATACATGTGATGTGGTACACATACAAACACATAAGAAAACACTCATGTACATGAAATAATAAGC